GTAGGAAAGAGAGACGATCTAGCCTGCAACATCATCGTCAACGGGCCACATAGATCCAACCACACTGCGAAATCCGGAGAACTGCATTACCGCAGCGAGATGAATCGACTCATCGGGAATTGACAGAACGCCCACTTGGTAGTATGACAAGCCGACAGGAATGCAAATTCCGGATTCTGCAGGCGAGTTTGTCGTTGACCATATAAAGGCCTGTCGTGCATGGCGAAAGACTCGAATGGCTGTTTTGAATTCGGCAATGCGTGGCAGGCCAGGTGAAGCCACTGTTTGGCTCAATATATCCAACGTCCCTTGGGCTGTTGTATGCCGTCCGCGAGCGATGTGAAGGATATAATGAGCGCGACATGCTAAGCGACAGCATCTAGCTCAGCAGCGACACACCAAAGGTGATCGCCTGTGGCCAGGTTTAAGGCTGTTGCCTCACGCGAACGAGTGCCGCCAAAGTTGGGGTGTAGGATTTGCAAGTGAGAGATATCATGCTTGTTCGGCTCATATGGCCCTTATGCATGTAAAGTGAGTAGCGTAAACTCGACGATAGGATACCACCAGATGCGTGGCCACAGGGAATGGACTTCCTGAGAAGGATGGGGTCAACAATACTATCCCATAGCTTGCATAGGACGTCAACAAGTTTGTGAAATTCAAGTCGGTGATCAAAAGATCCAGCACAATGTGTGAGCGACTGGAATTCAGAGGACAACTCAATCAGTACAAGACCAAGTGGAACATGGATAGGATCTTGATCATCTTGGGCACTAAGCATAATTAAAGCATTGCAGCTATACTAGCTTGTGTAGGCAATAATGACAGGATCATCTTCTCCTGCCTTCCGAAGGTCGCAGAACAGCGGAGGAAGGAGGAAAACAGGAAAAGTCGGGCAGCATACGGATGCGGGATGTGACATCATCCCATTGCACAGTCAGTTGCCTGCTAGTCTTCAGTAGGCGCATATACCATGTTACAAAAGCGGAAGCTGAGCAGCTCGAACTCTTCTGTTAAGGCTACGCCAGTATCACCTGATGCAAACAGATCACCCAATCGTGTGCGGAAGCGTGACAGCTGGGTCCAACATACTGCATGGTCTTGCTCCACCAGTTCCACAGTAGTTGAATGCACCTTGACAGTGCCAAAGCTGCGCGAAAAAGCGTCCATTGCAAGGGATGAAGTAGCCTCCCTAACCGCATCGAAATGATGAGAGGAAGACAACAAAAGAGCAATGTGCTGACCAATGAACTTCAACATGGTCTCAGACGCGATCAATGTAGCGGTTCACCTGCTCTGCAGAGGTCGCCCATGACTTTGCAGCACGAAGATCGTTACGAGAGATTTGGAATACTTGGGGAAGTTGTGAATAAATTTTGGAGACCTTGAGAGGCCAGGGTCAATCAGGATCACCGGCAGGATACAGTGCGAGTGCAGCTTGATGAGCTCAATCGCCACTTCCAGACACTATTGGTGGACAAACAAAAAAAATGGTTCATGGATGCTGAGAATGATAGAATGAATGCGGTGGGTTTTTAATGTCTATTAGTTGGGTGAAAATGCGCTGTGTGCGTTTTGTGTCGTGAACTACGGGAAGAGATAGAATGGTAGAGTATCGAAGGATTTCTCTGAGAAAGTGTTTCAATGTTTGATCTAGTCATTTAAAAACAACTAACCTACAAGCCTAACCCTGATAGGGCGTCTGACTAGCCCATATGCAATGCACGGTATGGGCCATGGCTCGCATTGGAACCCACCCAGGAAGGAGGAGGTATTACGCAAGGTCCTGGAGTACGAGATAATTCTAAAGGCTGAAGGTAAATAAAATGCACGGATGGGGGGAGAAGCCTGACCAACCTGGGAAGTTTTTGCGAATAAAAGGGAAAGTTAGCCGAGCTGCTTCTTGATGGGCATCACTTTCCGAGAATGAGCAGTTGGACATCCTATGGTATAAGGTACAAGGGGAAGTAAATGAGAGGAGTGCGGGTTGAATTGAAGTAGATTAATGTCGAGGAATCTTTTATGGGGTCAAACCTTGGTAATGGCAGGATACTGTTGCACTCGGATGCGGCAGTTTCGGAAGAGGCTGGGAGTGCTTGCATGAAGGAACGTGACCGGGTCTATTCCAGTTGTGTTCTTAATGCGCTTAACATGAAGTATTGTGTAGCTTGGAGAATGGGTAAAAGGTTGGTGATTTAAAACACGTCCAAGCTCGGAACGAGGAATGGAACGGTAGCGAGCTGTTGAAGATGGCTTGGGCTGATCTCATGATAAGCTATCCTGCCGACAACTTTGTGACTGACGTAGACCTTGAGTGTCTGACCACACTAGAAGCAAGAATGTTCGAAGATTCCGAGGAAGCAGGACCTGCAGGCAACTAGCAGTGGGGTTTGGATGCTGGTCGATATCACAGGCGGTGGAATGTGTATCTCAACATTCCTGATGAGTGGGTTCTGGGAAGAGATTACAGCGAGAGTGAACTTGAAGTAAGGAAAATATTACCTGCCCCGTTCAATAAGTCTCTAACTGGTGTGATTGACAGTGTGACCCCTTATTCAACGATAACTCTGATGCCACATCTGTAGACGAGTTGTCCGACGTCGTAGCTCCTTCGCTGCCTGTTGAAGAAGAAATTGTGCCCGTGAAACGTCGCTGTGCTTCGAAGAGGATCCAGAGAGGGACAAAAAGAAAATAGACATTGGTTGATGTAGCTAGTTAGCATCAGTCAATAACTATTTTCTTGGACTGACAAGCCTTGACGCGGCCACCTTGTGAATAAAGTCAACGAAGGAATGGTCATGAATTTGATGTAGGAGTCGAATGTAGAACATAGGAACGCTGGCATCAATGCCATGCAGGTCACGACCACGGCAGGACTGCGTCAAAATAGCTGCGCGGCCTACGCGTAGGTCAGTTTCAAACTTTCACTGTCGCTATCTACAAGAAAATTTTCAGCATGACTACCGCCACTTGCACTCAAAATCACAGTTCGTAGTATTCATCTATCCAAACTACTACTACATATAGTGACGGCCGCGCTAGCAACCAACTATAGCCCACACGACAGTATCCCCCGATCATTGGGTGACCAAAACTCAATTGAGTGGAACAGCTTACAGGACCGCATGTCAATGGATGCTGCGAGTGAGTACTGATAGAACACGAGTCTTAAATTTGGTGTTGACCACCTTCGAAGGCCACCATAGTAGCCAGGACAACCAGGCGCTGGCCTTGAAAGCGCTGGAATCCAAGGTTGGCGGCTATTTCCACACCTTGATCGAGAAGATGGTCAAGCAGGAGACGAATATCGAAACCTTGATGACGAAGTCGGACAGTCAGGAGGCGAAATTGTCTTACCACCATTCACTTATCGAGGAGCAGGGGAAGGATATGAGAAAAGTCTTTGAGGACCTGGCAAAACGTATTGAAGAGCTTGATACAAGTATCATTACCAAACTTGGGGTAATGATACGAGGTACTAAATAGGATTTGTAAAGTCGTCGGTATATTGTACGTGAAAAAAAACACTGACTTTCACGGCTTTGTATATTTGAACCGCAGTCAGCGTCAGAACCAAAAGATAAGATATGCAAAATTTCAGTGTTTAGAACAGTGAAAGTGACATTTTTCAGCGTTTTCAACACTGAAATCAGATTGATGACAAAGATCGTGATACTGATATTTCTCCTCGAAACACTGAAAACGCCATTTGCGGTACTGACAATCATGAATAGGATTACAGTAGACTAATTTGAGAGCAATACATGACACATGGGCGGTCAAAAAAGATAACTAGCTTGCGTCCAGGATCCATGAAAAGAGTCCAGAGCGAGAGCGTATTGAACAACAGGAGTACAAGGTGTATGGCTGCCGTTCGCAAGACAAGTCAAATCCGGCGAGTGCTGTGAGTCCATGCTTCAAACAGTGATCGAGTGTCAGGGAAATGATGTTGACTCTTGAGCGCATCTGGATTGGTTTGTAGGATCTGCCGGGATGACTCGGATGAGAGCACTGCACAATGTTACGCACTTGCCCTTGTTGAGCGCGGCTGAGCTTGAACCTACAGTGAAGTTGCCGGAGAATGAGTTCTGGGACAAGGTGAGAGATATAAAGAGTAGACAATAGGGAGTAAGTGATGAAGCTCGCACAGACACGAAAACACCACTTGTAGCGAGGAGGACAATCGCCTTCTTGAAGTATATCAGCGTTGTCTCAAGCTCGCACGAAATTAGTGCAAACATGCGAGAATGTCGCCGAAACTGTCGGAATACAAACGAGAGTGAACATTAACGTCGAACAACACAATGGACGTGAAAATTGACTCACCGATTCAGACCAGTGCAAACCGCGGTAGACAAGTAGAGAGATGCGACAATGAGTGGTGACAGGCACAGACGAGCAGGTACAATTTTGAGTAATATATTTCTTGAAGTCGCTCAGACTGTCACGTAAAGTTGCAAAAGTCCCGTCACCTTCAAGTTACTGGCTCCTTGTTTAGGTGCGTTTTGAGCTCGTGATCTTCTTACTTAGATATGCAAGCCACTGGGAAAATTTTGAGAATGTAGGTACTTAAATTCGCCTCTTACCGTGACAGCGGAATCTATCGCTATTTCCCAGGTGGGAGCTCAAGCTGAGCGCGGACAACCCGAGATTCCCCTGCAGGCTAGATATCCCCAACTTGCACTGCAAATTAATTGAAGTCTACTGCAATTGCCAATGAGTGCTCAGTTCGACCAGTCACGCCTTATCTGGACACCTGCTTACCCGTCTCATGTCGTCTGCGAGAAGCTAAGGCGTGAAATTAACCTCAAGCACAACCTGAAGCTCAGTGCGTTGATGTATGTCTCTCATAGAACGAGAGCCTGACTGGACTTCGTGCTGTAGAGGACTACCATGACCTGCATGCATACTCGGTGTCTAATTACACCTTCTGGCTTGACCTCTGGCAGTTTATGGGTATTTTATCTTCTGTCCCCCCAGATCCCACAAAGGTGTGTCAACTCATGTCAGCGTTCTTTCTTTGTGATGTCGAACGTCACTATAGATAGTCCAAAAGGGCAAATACGAAGAAGTACCCGAATGGTTTCCCGGAGCACGCCTCAACTACGCGGAAAACCTTCTCTACCGAGATGACGATGGTATCGCATGCACAGCAGGCAATGAACTCGGAGTTGTGACACATTATACCTTCCACCAGCTAAGAGAGATGGTGCGCAAAATGGCAGCCGCAATGCGCGCGAATGGATTGAAGGTTGGAGATAGGGTTGCGGGTGAGCGAAGGAAGTGCCTGTAGAATTTGCCACAGATTGTTAACCCTGAATGGTCGCAGCTATCATCACCAACTCCATCACCGCTGTGGTAGTTGCTCTTGCGGCTTCCAGTGTAGGGGCAATATTCTCCAGTACCGCAACTGACATGGGTACCCAGGTCAGCCTTATAGTATCTCTCATAGACTCGCAAGACGTTCCACCTTTACTAGGGCATACTTGATAGGTACAGGCAGATCAAACCAAAGCTCATTTTCACAGAAACGGAGATTGTATACGCGGGGAAGACAGTCAGCCTAGTGCAGAAGGCTTCGGAAGTGGAGCAGGATCTCCGCGCATATGGCGTACAGCGCATCATTACATTGCCAAGTGTAAAGACCGGAAACACCGTCCCAGAGTCTTTAAATATACCCAACAGGTTTGTCCATGACTCTCATCAATTAACGCGTGTTCCTACTTGGCCTTTGTTTAGTGTTACATTGGATTCTTTCCTTACATCAGATGATGGTCGACCACTGGAATTTGAGCAGTTACCTTTCAGTCACCCGTTGTACATCCTATACTCCTCGGGGACAAGCGGTCCGCCGAAATGCATAGTCCACTGCGGTGGAGTACGCCTCCCACTCACGTGCCATATTCTGCTATTTATCTCCTTCTGCAGGGCGCCCTCGTGAACAGCAAGAAGGACTGCATGGTTGGCTTCGGCATCCTCCCGACTGATGTCTATTTCCAATACACTACGGTAAGCAATTCCATATACATATGCTGTGCATGAAGTGATCAGCTCATACCCATACAAGACGGGCTGGATGATGTGGCCATTCATGCTCTCTGGTCTTGCATGTGGTGCACGCATTGTCCTCTACGATGGGTCACCATTCCATCCTGACCTCAGGGGTTATCTCAGGTTCATTAATGACCAAGGGTGCGAAGACAGTAACGAGCGTAGATCATCAGTAACCAAACTTTTTCTCTTCTAGTGTCACGGTATTCGGCACAAGTCCACGCTTCCTGACAGAAGTCCAGATGAGGGATATCAAGCCGCGTATGATCGGATCATAGCCTTGAGAGTTGATGCTAATTACTTTTGTAGTTGAAATTGCATCCTTTGAAGCTCTTCGTGAGATGACCGTCACAGGAGCTGTAATAACCGCACCTTTGATGGAGTGGACGCACGAGGCGTTTGGTAGGAAGCTGCATATAGGTTCGTCTTCTGGAGGGACAGACGTGTTCTGTGCATGTGAGTTTCCGTTGTGTCGCCTCTTGCTATATACCTAAACTAACACTCCTCAGTTGTCTCTTGCGTGTCGAGTTTCCCACTACATGCTGGAGGTTGTGTCCGAAGTGCTATTCTCTTAACTTGGACTAACTGTGCGTTCCACACAGAACTTCAAGGCAAGTCTCTCGGCATGGCTGTTGAATTATTCGATCCCGCGGGCAAGAACATTGAGAACACAGGTCAACCTGGTGAGCTCGTCATCACCCGTCCGCATCCCTCGATACCTGTTTGTTTCTGGGGCGATGAGTCTGGCAAAAAGTTTCGCCAGGCATATTACGACACGTACCCAGGTAAGCTCTCCTTATTTCGTCCAGATATTGACGTGCATGTTTACGTTGATGCGGGGCACAGGAGTCTGGCGTCAAGGCGATTTTGTAGTCAAGAATTCAAAGACGACAGGGTTCATCTTTTTAGGGCGGAGGTACTGGCTATTTTTATGCCTTGTCATATGCAAGTTGATCTAATCATTTCCACAGCGATGGTGTACTCAACCCCTCTGGTGTCCGTTTTGGCTCAGCGGAGATCTACACTGTCCTAGAGTCTTTCTCCAACGAGCTCGATGACTCGTTGTGTGTGGGCCAGCGAAGGACACAAGACCCTGATGAGCGTGTGCTGCTCTTTCTGAAGATGCGCTCAGGGCACAAGCTTACACCTGCCCTCATTGACCGCATTAAAAGCGCGATCAGGACTAGTCTTAGCCCGAGACACGTCCCAGCCTACGTGTTCGATACCACAGATATCCCGGTACGTAAGCTGCTTACTCGGTGAACATAACGATCCTGATGCCTGTGCAGTATACTGTAAACGGCAAGAAAATTGAGATTGCGGTGAAGCAGATTGTTTCGGGGTCCGATCTAAAGCCGAGTGGGACTGTGGCAAACCCTGAGTCACTTAAGTTGTACTATAAGTACAGGGACATCGAAAGTTTGGTGGGCGTGAAGACGATGGCGAAGCTCTAATGTGTAGACATTGAAATCAGAAGGTTGGGTCTTCCCACTATATAATAACTTGTGAGCACAGTCATTTGGCGTGAGCTACCTTTCTGATGAATCTAAGATGCGTGAGATTTCTGCAACCCACTCATGATCGTTTGGTTTTGAGTGTCAGTGCATAAGTCCGCCATCACGGGATAGGCGCCCGTGTCAATAACCTTCAAGAGCCAGGGGTATCGTACGTCGGAATTAATGCTGAGGAAAATTCATCTGCAATGCGGAGACAGCATGGGCGGGCAAATTCACGTGTACTCCGTTATGCAGTGAACCATTTCGTGAGCCTTCCATTGCTGGTGATTTATGATTCGCTTCTTCCCGTTCTTTCGCCGTGACCCTGTCGCGCAATCAACTTCTCCGTGTCCCTACTGAAACATCTTGAACACTAGTCCATATCCAAGTCCAAGCTAACTCGGATACGCGGCAGTAGTTGTCCGGTTTGCGCGATTGAAGCACGCATGTCAGCGACTTAGATCAAGCCTGCCAATGGGGCACTATGTACCAGTAAGTACGTAGTACTGTGGGACAATGCCGCACTGATAATGGCTACCTGATCCGCAAAGCGGTATCTCGCTAGCGCTAATATCGACTATACCATGGAACCACTTCACGACATCCTTATCTGGCATACTCTGGAATTCTATCCTGATCATAGCGTCGTGTATACAGTCACTTCAGCGTTACAACTATCAGCCTAATGCTGTTCGCGCCCCTGAACTTGTGGTCCCGGACTGTATCTTAGGGGTTATCGTCGACGACTCTGAGTCATTAGGAAACCCAGAGGTGACAGTAAATGGGTACGTCAATGTAGCAGGCTGTGGTCCCCTTTTGTGAAGGTTCCTAAATTTGTCCTATGGCAAGTTTTTTGCTAGTTGACTAGGTAATAGTCAGGGGCAATGGCACCGGTTCGATTGGTCCGATGAAAGCACATGCCCTCGATGAAATCCACCTAATGTCTACCCTCCATTCCACTCGGAACAGTTCCTTACTCCCCTGTGGGGTCACTCTCCATCTCCGTTTTAAATAGCACGGTGCCTTGATAACAACAACGAAAATATAACTTCGCCTTTGGGTTGTTTTCTCATCATTCCGGTACATCAATTGAACCGTCACTGCTCTTTAGAAAATTGGCCTTCTCCTTTAGCT